AGACTTACACTCTAATTGATATTTCAAATCCCAGAATGAGCCATCCTACCGCCTATCGCAACGCCATGGATTTAACCATGATTTCTTTCCTGTTCCATGGGCTTCCGACCATCATCTATAAAGTCATGAAAGCCTTTTTTGTCCTAATGCTAATTGATTCATACCATGTGTGTATATCCGTATACTTGAAATAGCTTTCATCTCTTTTTTTTTTAAAAAAAATTTATTTATTTATTGATATTTTCCATCCCTAGTAGCATATTTTATTCCTTTAGAATACTGGATATTTGATGTGGTGATGGTCTTGTTGTAAGAGAGTAGATTAGCAAAGAGAGCTTTGCAGATGAATCTTAATTATTTATGATAAAATAATAGTTCCTGTTACAAGTAGTAGAATGTAGCTGTTGTTCCTGTGCTTGATCTGTATTTTATAGATCATCTTATTTTTCCTCTCCAATCACATTACTTGTGTGGTAATATTAAGGTGTGTTTCTTTGGCTGGCAGATGTCTCCTACAACCTGCTTATTTTCCTGTTTGTTTTCATGCTTGTGAGCTGACTGTTTACATGTAGCAAACTTAGCTGTTTTACATGGCTATGTTTTGTCTTTTATCAAAATAAGAACCTTTTTGAAGATGATGTTTGGCTGAGGGCTTTGAGTGTCTGAAAGCAAAACTGCATCTCCTGGTGAAGAGTATTTTCTGTTTTAACAGCTCCATATAAATATAAATCCACTGTTACAGGAAAATATACTTTTACTGTGTAACGTTTGTGTCCATCTTTCTGAAATTGATGCATGTGTTGTCTCTGTTGAATTTGTGTAAATGCATAATGTAGGGGTCATATAAAACATAACACCCCCCCCAATAAAAACAAAGCTGCATGAAATTTGATATAACAGCGTATATATCTATTTATCAAGTATTGGACAAAAACATCCATTTTCTTGTTTATTAAGAACCTATATATAATAAAAAATAGCTGAAATACTTTCCTCGTATAATAAATGAAGTCTCAGATTTTCAACAAAATTTTCTTGAGCTTATTGTCAATCTTGCATTTGCAAATTAAATGAAAAAGCTGCCTGTAAACATCAAGTTTGCGTGATCACTGAATGGATAGATAGGATAAGAGATAACAAGAAGCAACCTGAAATCAGTAGAGTTATGTCAAAGTTCTGTTTGGATCATTTTGAAAGTTCTTCCATCCTTTTGTTTTAATTTTTTTTTTTTGCATGTTAAGTTAATTGGTTATTGGATTCTTGTTAATTTTCTGAATTACACTTATGAATCAAATAGCTGTGAAAAATGAGGGAGATTCAGAGCTGAACAGGTCAATTCTGTCAGAAGTTCCTTAGAGGGAACTAATAAAGCTCTTAATCCTAACATGCTCTTAGCAAAGTCTTTAACATCATGCCTTGCATACCCAAACAATCCTCTGCTTGCTTTCTGTAAGGTTGAGATTGGTGTGTGACATGATGAAGTATACAGAGTGACTTCTTCAGATAGTTTCAGACCATAAAAATTTTAAGGCAGGAGATAAAAATACGGTGTTCTCTAGTTACAAAGTTGTTTGACACTTACACAGGCATTCCAAAAAATTAAAGGATACTTTTAACAGGTGTGGGAGATACCTGTTTTTATTAATTTTTTTCTTTTTTTTTGTGCTTCAGGCTTTGAAGGGCAGAATCTGTATTCAGTGCAGACTTTTTATTGGAAAAAAGGTGTTTTTTCCTTTTTTTTTTTTTTTTTAAAAAGCCGTTATCAGCTCCTTTTTTGGTCTCAGTAGCTGATTGTTTGGACTATATTGAGATTCAATAGCATGCAGTGAACTGTTGTTTCTTCTGCTGGGTATATATCTTCCCAGTTGCACTGAAATTAATTCAGAACATCACAGGTTTATTTCAGAAAAAGTAAAGTGGCAATTATTAAATTGTTACTAAAGTCAAATGAGTTAATTCTGTCATTTTCTATCATTCTGCCTTTCATCATGTTTGTCTTTTACATGTTTGACTTTTTCTGCAAAACAGAATTTCCTTGCGTCACAAAAACAGTGGCCTGAAGACAGCTTCAAACTTTCCATTATACTTTTAAACAATCGTATATATTTCTTTCTTCAGTGTTAACTCATACTTAGTTCATACATTAGAGAACCTACCTCCTATTGGTCACACAGATTACTTGTTTACAATTACGACAAACTTGCATCAGCACTTATTGTCACATTACCATGGTTATATTATCGTTAAACTTAACCTTGTGCTTGGTTGCTAACCAGAGGCTAGCTAGCAGTCCAGATGTTTAACAAAAATAGCATAGCTTTGTTTTCCTTTCTAACCCAACAGACAAAATTACTGTACCTTGCTTAAACAGTGAGGTGTATTTTAGATATGTGCACACAAATTCAATGCATTTACATCAGGCAAATTCACAGGGTTTAGTCTTTGCTATTTGTATTTTCCTGGAAAAGTGAATGTTAGCACAGCGAAGTAACAAATATGCATCATCAAGACTAGGGAGGATATTTTTCCACCAATTTTTTTTCTACTTCATTATTTTTCTGAAGTTCAATTTGCCTTGGGTTTTCATATTTATACATCCGTATTACACACTGAAACCAAAATGACTTCTGCTAATGCCTTTCTGTCAGTGAGTTGTTTTTTTTGCACCATCTATTGTTAATGCAGAACCTTCCTTTTGTTAACTCTCAATATTACCAGGAAAGAAAAATGGGCTTGCTGTTAAGCTTTAGCACTTCCTTGAGTCTGGCATGGAAAACCTCTGTGACCTCTGCTGGGGCACATCATGTCTTTGTAGACAGAACTGTTAATAGTTTCTTCCTCTTACCATTTTCTGTTCTCTTTATTAAAGTTTCCAATCTTTCATTGTGCTTATACAGTGGCCCCTTTTATGAATGACATCAAAGAGAAATCTCTAGAAGGTGTTTATAATAATAAAAAATAATATTTAACTCGAGTCAGACGGAGACTACTGACTTTCTCCCCTCACTGTTCAGAACCCTGACAATTTGAGATCTTTCTTCTAGTAGCTCAAGGGAAAAAAACCATCTAGAACTGGCGCTAGCTCTGTCTTTTGACCTGGTGGTAAAAACCATCACTGGTGAGAGCAGGCTAGCCAGAGTAAAGATGTTCCCAGTGTGTCCAATGTGAACATAAGGAAATAGTGACCATTGGAAGAAGAGTGTTCAGAAACGTGTTAGAAACGACCAAACAGTTTCAGAAATGGTCTCAAATTCTTGTTATTTCTAAGAAACGTTATCTTTTTGTGTAAAAATTATATACATGGAAATATCCATATTTGGGCAAGACATAAGGCGTTGGTTATGTTTTTAGCTGAAAAGTTTCATTTTGATTTTGGAAATCTGCATAGTTGATCTGGTGTTTTTTTAAGATATTTTACAAGGCAGACCAAAGGCATTTTCAATGTGATTTATCCTAGTTGCATGTGTTCAAGAAAAATAATGGAGATAGGAGGAAGTGTTGTTATATCTGGGAGTTCTTTAGAAATACATATCTTTTTGCTTAACTAAAGATTTTTTTTATACTGTTTTGATTAAATATTAATGGATGTAAGCATCAATAAATAAGAAAAAAGTAATGTTTGCAGCAACATGAAACTATTGAGAATATTATCTGATGAATGATCTCTGCAACACAATATAAAGAACAGACAGAGAAAAAGTATACTAGTTAACAATAATGTTTAGGATCAGTTTGAATGGAAGTAGACCAGAGAGAATGATATGGTAGCAGCTGGATTTTGGACTAGATTTTGGTTTATGGAAGCGAAGAAAGCAATTTGCTGTGGAACCATATAACAAACAACCAAGCAGAGTTAGTGATATCTTCCTGGATGG